ATGTCTACTGTCTGCCAGTACGCATGTCTACTGTCTGCCAGTACGCATGTCTACTGTCTGCCAGTACGCATGTCTACTCTCTGCCAGTATGCATGTCTACTGTCTGTCAGTGTGCTTGTCTACTGTATGCCAGTGTGCTTGTCTACTGTCTGTCAGTATGCATTTCTGCTGCTCACGGGGCACAAATAGCAGTTTTTCTCTTCCATTGCTACTCTGTAAATTTATTGATCTGCCAGTATAACTTTACACCTCAAGTATTTATTTCCATTATTCCCTATCAAAGTCATTCCTACGCTTGTTTAATGACCGCCTGGACAAAAAATATCTGTTGGCAAATTGAAGATAAGCATGTTATACCATGCATTATGTTGTTTAATGTTGAAACCTACATTTTATTTGTCTAAATTCCCAAATTTTGCTTGACTGGTCAGTATTTTGTGATTCCATGTTTGAATACCTTTGCATTTACTTAACAAAAACAACTTTGCATCAGTAATATCCATCAATCCATTTTCTGTCGCTGCTTGTCCTATTCAGGGTTACAGAGCCTATGGGCACAAGGCAGGGAACAACCCAGGATGGGGCACCAACCCATCACAGGATGACTCACCATTCACTCACACATGCACACCTATGGCCAATTTGGTAACTCCAATTACTCTCAGCATGTGTTTTTTTTACTACGGGGGGAAACCAGGGTACCTGAAGGAAATCTCACAATGACATAATACACCCCATGAATAATAAAAATAAATAAATAAATAAATAATAATAATACATCTTCAGCAACAGCATGATTTAACCACATTTTGCTGATTCCAGAAAAAGTTGCTTTTGCAGAAATAATACATTCTGTGTCGTTTAATTCAGACTAACTTATCAAGTCTTCTAAAATATTTTTTTTTTAATTTGCAGAACCAATACAGAGGGCATTAGCAAATGTCCCCAATTATTCTGTGATAGAAAAGACAACCAGTCATCCGGAGAGTGATATACCAGTGCCAGAGAGGGGAAGTGATATACCAGTGCCAGAGAGGGGAAGTGATATACCAGTACCAGATATTTCTGCTTGGTTTCCATCTTCCAGCATCTCACGGTCATGATGATCCACCCCCTCTGTGGGCGGACACCTAAGGATGTCTACAATGTAGTGTGTGACATACTGAGCATACGGAGAAATCTGGCAGCTTCTATTAACTATTTTAAAGCTCAAACCAAATAAAAAAACGAAACTCCTCTCTCAAACATGCAGAGGTTCATAGTCAAAAAATTCATTGTCAATTTTGTATGCATGGCTAGTTATCATTAACATTTCATTTCTGTTAAGAAGCTTTGTCATGTGTTAAATTTGTCATGATAAGTGACATGGTCACATGGCTCATTTAAAAACCTCAATTTCTGTAGCAGGGCTTTAAGTCAGCTCCCCCGCTGAAGGTTTAGATAAGGAGAGGAGCATTTCTTCTGAGGTAAAATAATTAGAAGAGACATAGCGCTTGCTTTTGAAGGCATCTGGTTAGGCATTGATGTGGAGGGTTACTGAAGGCTTTGTAGTCTCACTACCCCACTCCAGCTATTCCATGAAGTACTCTGACTCTCGGCTTCAAACTTAGCCAGTTGTCTAAGTATTCCATTATATAACCACGAGGAGCCTTGTCTTAAATATTACCACTTACGTAATCTTAGACTTGGGCTCCTTGTTGTGTCCATTTTCTCCAGCCATTAAAAATGTCAAGGCATGTCAGACTACCTCAAAAGTAGCTGAGAGGCCTCAAACTCCGGTGGGCTAAGTCCTGATGTGAACTGGGCTGAATTATGCAGATAGCACATTTAGATTGAGGGGAAACCCACGCAAACATGGGAGAGCTTCCTAGCAATGCATGCGCTCTGCCAAAAGCAGGATTTGATCTCCCAACCCTAGATATCAGGCTACTACCCAGAAAACCACACTACATAAAAATCTGTGTTATCTGCAAAACATATCATGAAAAACCTATTTAGTAAGAGTATCATCATAAATTATGACCTGAATACTTAATATAATACTTATAGTAAACACTTATATTACTACTGCAACACTTAATGAACCACAGATTAGTATAGAATGGAAATTTAGTGTTTTGCATGTTGGGATAAAACTTGATTGTCCCAGGACAGCAGGCTAACGATTTTGTGAGCCCTGGTGCGATTTTGGTACCTCTGGTTACCACCATGTAATACAGTCCATCCATCCATCCATCCACTCTCTGGGTATATGCCAGGCAGCATAGGGCACAGAGCAGGGTTCTGCTCAATGGATTAGATTTTTCAGGGCTGCAGAAATGCGTAGTAGGTTTCAGAAATGAATACCTATCATTAAATATATGGTTTTTGCTGTTGTGTATTTTAATGACTTATTTTTCATTAAATGCTTGCATTCAGTTGTATTTTGTGCTATTTTAGTACTACAGAATACGGTCTTCTTGGGTCTTTTTATAGCATTTTTAAATTAATGTTCGTAAATTTAGATATAAAAATAGGAAGAACAAAGCAGACAGTCTCTAAAAATACACCAAACGTTGCGATACTTTGCTAAAAAAGCCCATTGGCATCTGCAATATGAAAAAATGAACTTGAAAATAACAAATGTATATTTTAATAAAACAGACAATCTTTTCCCCATAAATACAGATCAAAAGAAGT